ACACCTACTGACATCATCGTTCACTTACCCTTCACATTTCAGAGCATGCACACACAATACTGAATGTGTGTTTATACAGGACTCATCTTGACATCTAACCTCCAAACACATACAGGACCCTCACGGTTCCCAGTGGTCCAGGTCACATGCCAGGGGCCGTTCAGCTCAGTGTCACTCGCAGTGGTGTGTGTAATATGTGAATGTGCTACCCCGGGGGGGTTGTGGAGGATTGTGTTGTGATGTGGTCAGCCCCTGCCGGGCATGAAGGAGCAGTGCTGTGGAAACAGAGATGGAGAAGATCAGGGTTCAACGGTCACATTTAGAGATTGTCCTCGAGATACACATATCTGAATAATCCTGTTCTATACCTCTCTTTTTTTCTCTCCATCTCTCTCTCGGACGCTCACTGATCTGACATCTCTGGGCAGCAGATGTCCGCTATTAAATGCATAAAAGAGCTCTTGAAGTATAATTGGATGTGTTTACAGGGTTTTGTCAATCTGACACTGGAGTTTTGGGTGGTTAATTCTGCCTGGTTAAAGGGCCTTAGTGCCGCCCGTGTGTCGAGTCATCTGATCGTAATGTGTTTAGAGATGAGCAGACAGTCTGCCATAAATTGCATCAGTGATTTATAGAGAAGGCCGTGGGAGGGTCAGTATTCACTGTACTCAGGAGCCGGTGTAAGTGCGTCTGTGTTAGAGCAGAAACCTCTGACATGTGCATCAGATTGTGAGCTGATGGCTCTGATCCAAACCCTGATGAGCTGCCTTGCTGTCTGCTGTCTTCATAGGCTGCTACCCTCAAACGCTCTGTTCTAATCTATTTAGCGTGACATTAGCTAAACTTCTGTGAAATTTCGCAGACGGGGTTGTAGTTGCAGGAAGTACCGCTTCTAAACCAAGCAGCTTTCAAACCAAGCAGCTTTATATTGGTTCAGTTCAACAAAATTGAATCCAATGCCAAGTCCACGGGGTGGAACTTTTTCCCCATGTCCCTCATGCAAAATTATCAACCTGATCTCACAGGAAAACATAATGGCGTATGAATTCGTACAAGGTGAATTATACAAAAACATATGATTATCAGAAAAAAGTAAGCATGAAGATCCCCCCCCCTCAACATACCAGTCACTGGGCATAAGCAGATTGTACGAAAACATGCAAATGACATTGTTTAAATTCATGTGAATTAGCCACCAATTTGCCAAAATTTTAAAAAGTTACTGTTGAAAACTACAGCTTTCTATTGAGATGACTGCGTTTTGCTCACAGAATTCCGCGTACAATGGTAAATGTGATACACACATTTTTGTTCTAAATGGTCATAGCCTGATGATTTTTTTTTTTTTTTTACAATATTGTAATAAAGTATCCCCTCCCACTGTGAAATCTCATTAGTCACATAACTGTACATTACAAATATTGTTCAATTGACTGTGTGGAAAGATAATTTGTTTATCACTGGAAGTTTGTCATATTATGTCTATTTAGGACATGATGTTTGGTGGCATCCTTTTTTTATGACGCTCAGAGTTGCTAAAAAAAACAAATGCAATACTAACACCAAACCCCAAAATGCATAGTATACACAAATATTTAAAGAAATAGTCTTCTATTTTTTGTCAGTATGGAATAATACATTTGTAGTGCTGTCTTCAATTTAGGATGAAACTTATGGAAGTTGAGCAGTAGGTCTCAACCAGGGGCCTCAACAAACTTCCAAGAGTGTCACTCAGGATGACTCTCGATTATTGTGTTGGCCAACGGGACATTTTTAGTCAAAAGGGTTGAAAACCACTGAAATAGAATAAATATTGGTGCCTACTGTTTAGAACAACCTTATTGTACACTGTAAAAAAAAATACGATAAATTTACAGGAAAACCCTGGCAGCTGTGGTTACCAGAGTTTTCCTGTTAAAAATACGGTAGCAACGTTTTAGGTTTTAGCAACGTTTTAGACTTTTAACCGTATATAATTTTACAGCAATAAACCGTATTTCATTATCTGAATGTTAATTTACTGACATTTTGGAGTATTAATATCTGTTTTTTCCCATTGTAATACACTGACAGCCAACAATCACAGCAGTGATGAGAGTCAAATGGTCAACCAAAGCTCATCATAAGCAGCTCTTCCACAAGAAAGTTAGTACTAATGTACAGAAGCTGCACAGTGTCATTCACACAAACATTAAACACCATCATGGTAACATGTTGAAATTTAAAAAATGCAATAAGCATTAATTTAACAACATTAAATGTAACATAAAACCCTAATGTACATAACTGATTAGAAAAAAACTAAGAAAATTATGAAGAAACAGTTATTTAAAAACAAAATACATCAAATGTGAAGTGTCACGCAGGGAATTGTGGGAATGTCAATTTACATTTTTTCACTGTAAATTATACAATGACTTGTTCTTTTTCACTTCCAAAAACTGTAAATTTAACGGTATTTTACAGTAAAATTACATTAAATGTACCATTACATATATCACAGTTATTTACCGTATATAGTAAGGAAACTTTCTGTTAACCAATTAACAGTTTTTCACTGTAGCATTTTTTACCGTTAAAATCACAATCATTTTTTACAGTGTACTGGGTTATGTATATTGTAACAGTGTAGGATACATTTAGAAAAGTGAATCTTGCTGTAATCTGCTTTATAGAGTAACTTGGAACATAAATTCATGGAACTACCAGACGGATATTACTTAAATATGAGTCCTGAGGACTCGCAACAGTCTCTATGAAAAAACACTGTAAACTGAATTCAAAAATGACTCTGACCACTATTTTTGTCTGAGCACTTTGAGGCATATACCTGTCAGTCGTTTTGAGCAGCCAGGTTAGCTGACATTCGATTTCGAGGACGGGATTTTGTAGAATTCAGTGTCGGACGGAAGTTAGTGAAGCGACTAACATGTCCTTTTAGCACCTTTAAAACAAGACAAATAACAGTAATTGGTTTACTTTATAGCAGTTGCTTTTTACTGTAGTGTTTCAAAGACCCAGTTGCAGCTCAGTCGTCTCCTTGCAGCAAATATATAAGAAATGAATATATTTTGAATTGAATTTATTTTCCAATTTATTTGAATTGAGTTTTTTCCTGTTTTGAGCTTAAATTTAACACAGTTTTATAAAGTTTTTGTTTAAAAAAAATGGGAAAAAAGACTATTTTTCTGGGGTGTTTTACATAATTTGGTTCTCAAATAAATCTTTCTTGTTTTAAAAAGGTCTGCCATTTGTTCCCCCTTGACGTGCCCTTTGAGGGGCAAAACAATCGCTTGAACTTTTTGAAAGATCTTCTTTCTGGTTCATTTTCATCCTCACTCCCTTCAGTCGAGCTCGTGCATTCGGTATTGTAAGATTATCTACGTTTCCCAGTCCCCGCAAGCAGAGGCATCTGATACACAATATGTGCTCTAGATTCAGCCGGAGGCCATTTCAATCCATGGCTGAAGATTTGTAAGTGTATTAGTCACACTTGGGTTGTAGATCTGCGCCTCTTCCCAAGACTATTCACTCTGCGAGGCCGCTCGGGGGTGATTGTGTTTTCCAGTAATGTGTCGGATAATCCTAATACTGGAGTTATGTTGAGGATGTGTGCCAGGGCCAGGACACTGGTGCATAGAGCAGATCTGTCCAGAACAGACTCGACTCGGCCAGCATGCTGCAGATGGCTGATGTAGGCCGCCACTCCTAATGAGTTACGACAAAGGAAGCCCCGTTCTCAGCGTGTACTTTCTCTCTCGCTCGCTCTTTTTCTCCTCCTCCTCTCTTCCTTAAGCAGATTAATTAGCAGCACTTTCCCTTATCGGCCAAGAAAGTGCTCTCACAAAGTCCTCGGGGAGATCTCACCAGGGAGGCACAGTCGCTGCCCAGCTTTTCTGCACTTCACTGTGTGTTTATATGCCTGTGTGAGTGTATTTGTGTGGGTCGTTCTGTATATTTAGACAATATTGAGACTCTACGTGAAGCTGCATTTGCATAAGCAGTACTTTCAGTACTATTGCAAGTATATTATGAATTAATACATCAGTGTAACAGAGTGAACAATGTACACCCTTCATGTCTGTTTTGGTAAAGCTTTCCAAAATGTTGGGATTATTTGGCTTGCATTTGAAGGCAACTTTCTATTCACAATCAGTGCTGTTTTAAATAGTATTGTGCAAATTCTTGCCTACTTATAATGCTGTTTTTATGCTCAGTCATTCTAACACATTCAGGGGAGTCTTTGGGCATTCAAAGACACCTTACACACCTTTTTTTTTTACATACTCTTAACGTAAACCTTATGAGATCAGATGGAGCTTTAAAATGAGACAAGCTCCAAGCATTCACATTTTAAAAAAAGCAGGTGAAGACATGTCTTCAAGTTTTTGAGTATAGCATATACAGTACTCCTATTTATTTTGTACATAAATAGCTTGCCTATATATTCTTCTTCTGTCTTGTATATAGAAATGCACAGGCAAAACATGTAACTGCCGTTGTACCACTTTAGCTCTGAACCAGCTTATCATAATTATGACATAAATAGCAGTCTGTCTTCACGGTGCACACTGGACTAACATGAAGCCAGATCAAGGTCATTCTCATTTCAGAACGTTCCCTCTTCCTCTCTCCCTTCCCCCATCAAACTAATGAATGTTTTATACTGGTCTCTTTAATATTAGCCCTAAATAGTGATGGTGTTTGATGTTTAAATCCAGTCGCCAGGAAGTGTAAGCTGAGCATTTCATCAGCGCCACAGGGCTTCTTTGGCCCCAGTAGTGCAGGTCTCAGTGTGAATCTATTGCTTTAGATATGCCTCTGTAATCTGCTGTGGGATGGGAGTGAAGGAGGGGGCAGGAAGTATGCTTCATATTTTCATATTTTTAGAAGGAAAATTAGGCTTGTTACGGGCTCTTGAGCTCTTCTGCTGTGAAGAAGGGTGAGGCCACCGAAAAATCATTAAATAATTATTTGACCTTTCTATCTTGTTTCTTTAGGCTCCGCCCTTTAATATCATCCGCTCCCAAGAAGAAGAGGACAGCAGCCACACCGGTAGGTCAAATGAGGGTGCTTACTGTTAATGTTAATAATATGTTTGATTTTCCATTCAAAGATTATTTTCCATTAGACAGAGTACACTGTAAAAAATTATTGGTGGTTTAACTTAAAAAAAGTAAGTTACCTGATTGCCTTAAAATTTTGAGTTCATTGAAATGAAAAATGTATATATTAATACAATCAAGGAGAATGGTTTAATAAATAGAAACTCAAAATATGTTATCTGAACCACATTAATTATCTAAGTTGTTTTGACAAAAGAAAAAGAAATTCATGGAAATAATTGTTTACAGTGTAGTAGTCCTGCATTATGGTAAAAAAAATATTCATAGACCTAGCAATATGCAAAACTACATTTAGTAAATGTAAGTGTTAGTATAGTTTTAAAGGTTCTCTAAGCGATCCTGGGTGACGTCACTTCTTGTTGACGTTCGAACTATTGTCAAACAAAACGGAGGCTAGCTAGACCCTCCCTCCTCCTCATCCGCACACTAACCCCCCAAACCACACCCCCAAACCCTTCTTGTCGGTGATTGGCTAGAACAGTTTGTTATGTTTTGGGGAGCGGGTCGCTGCAGTTTGTTTTTGTTGCTGTGTGTGGAGCCAGGGCTGTCTACAGAGATCGCGTTTCTTTACAGTGTGTTCAGGGGACAGGCAGCCAGCGGATAGTGAGGAGATGTTTGCTGTATGTGACAAAAAATGTTTTGGCCTAAAAAACGCGTGACATCGCTTAGAGCACCTTTAACATGAAACACATGTCAGCACAAACCATAGTTATTATTTTGCAACCCATTTGATTGGACATTAAAACTAAATATGGCAAGAAATTTCTCTTCTCCTTTTGAACCATGCGCCTCATTTCTAACCCAAGGCTTTAATGTGATTACTGAATGGCATCTCAGTGCAGAACTGTTTGCGGTCTGTTTTCTTGTTGACCCAATGAGCAATATTTCAGCTTCCAGCTTTATAGAGGTCAAATCAAATTTGCTTGACTAACCCTACTTGACTTCAGTGGTAAATCCATCACGATAATCAAATCCATCATAGCTAAATGTCACTGCAGTAAATAGCGAACCAGCATATTTCACAATATGGGGTAAATATGGCATATACATTTAATTGAAAGTCAATATCTGTGGTAATGTTCAAGTCACAAAATTTGATGGTTTGGCTTTTCTAGGTCTTATTGTCTCTCTTCAAAATGGTCAAGCTTGAATAATAAGCAGCAATGTGGTCTGAAGTCAACCATACGAAAGTGCATGCACAAATAGACAAATTTGCTGTGGCAAAAAAATCAAGTACAAAATGACTGCAGGGGTCAACTTTGCTCACGCACTGAAGCTTTCCGAGGTCCCATCCAGGTTGTTACAGAGATCTTCTGAAAAAAGATCAGTGTTATATAATGTATTGTGTCTTTCTCTGTGAGATTCAGAATTATGGAACATTATTCAGAAACATTAGCTGTTCTTCCCTTTCCCCCACAAAACAAGAACAAGCAGAGCACTGTTTCATACACAAGGGGTTTTAGTTCAGATGTGGCAAGGAACCGTAGAAGGAAATAGAAGTACTACACAGAAAAGTACTGGAATATTATCTCAAGTTTTCTAAATTGTCTTGTTCCTAATGAGATCGTTAATGCCCCAGCCCAGATTCTCCAGCCATCAGGCCTCTGCATGTCTCTGTGATCCCAGCCTTGGTTACTCACTCAGGGTGTAACCCACAGGTGAGCTGCGGGGCGTCTTTTAGGCGTTTGCCAAGCTTGGCAGTCCCTATTACAAGATCCCCGCTGCTGCCGTTTCCCCTTTACTGGCACCGCCTGAAGAGCGGCCTCACGGTACAGCGGCAAGTCTGTGCTATAATTACCACTGAGACTTTCATGCTCTTCCTCCGTTTTTCACAACATGATAATTGATTTAGGCCTCTGCTTCCCCTGAGCTGTACTTCCTTATACATATGCCTGCTGGGAGATGTAGCCCTGAATCTTTTTTGGGGGGGAGGGATTTAATCTCTGTTTTTGCCTCAACTGGGATGTGAAGAATCACTATTTTTAGTTTTTTTTTTTTTTTTTTTTTTACTTCATTGGAAAGATAGTGGAGAATGATAGTAAATGATTATGGGGAGAGAAGGGAGAATGGAATCAGCAAACATTGCAGGCCAGATTGAAATCTGTATTTCCTTCATGATTGAAAATGTCACATGCAAATATGCTAGCCACCACACTATGGTGCTGACTTAGAATCAGTATTAAATATTCTTATGGAAATTATTCATGAGAAAGAGGCGAACTGGGATCAGGACCTGTTGCAGGCCAGAATTAAACCTGCATTTCCTACATGAGCACCAAGATTGAACATATCAGATGCATGTATTTAGCACCACGATTTAGTATGTTAGATGTGATATTATGTCACTGCACTTCAGAACTGAAAAAAAATGGAGATTATTAGAAAAGAGAGAAGGAATGGGATCAGGAAATTTTGCAGATCAAATTCAAACTGGCATTACCCACATAAGCACCACATTTTAACGTTTTAGATGCATATTTAGTAGCCACTGTACCATGGGGTACTAACCAAAAAGTATTGATATTATGATTTCAATCTGGCAGTAGAATTCAGATTTTCAGAGTTTGGGGAGCATTGTGAATTTATAAACAAATATAGCGAATCTGGCAATTGATGTTTGTTGTTCTAAAACACTGCTTGTTTATTTCAGGTCACTGCCAACATCACCACGATGTTGCCTCCTGCAGCCCCAGAGCCCCCTCCGGCCCCCACCCCTCCCCCCATGCTGGAAATTGGGCCTGTAGCATATGAGGAACCCGCAGAGGAAGAAGAGGAAAATGAGGAAGAGGCGGAAGAGTCTTGCGTTAGCGCCATGGAGCTGATAGGTGGAAATGGTCAGTATGTCGAGCCCGTTCTCATCCTTTGGCGTCATATAGGTGACGCCATATGACATTTCGTTGAAATACTACGCACATGGCACCCTTTAGCGTGAATATAACACGCAGAACCCAAGGCGTCATACACGTTACTGGCATCCTTTAGCGTCAATATGAGACGCAGACCCTACCACAGACCTAAACCTACCCATAACAGTGCGTGTTATATTCACGCTAAAGGGTGCCATGTGCGTAGTATTTCAACGAAATGTCATATGGCGTCACCTATATGACGCCAAAGGATGAGAATGTGTTGGTATGTCACAGCGGATTGTAGCCTTGTCACTGACAAGGATAATGAAGTCACGGCTCGAGGGTTCAGTGATCAAGGGTTTCCCAGATTAGTTCCAAGGTCTGGCTCTTCATCTTGACAAATTGTGTAATGCTAAGTGGGCTGTAACTCTCTAGCATTCGTGGCAGACTGCATTTGAAGTGTTTATCATCTTGATAAACTACTCCGATCCCGTCTCCTCTGCAAGTCATACATCTACAAATACTTGCTTATCACAGAAGTGTCCTGGTAGCAGTCTACCATCTAATCTAATCTTTACCGTTCTGACTTTTTCACCATTTATCCCGAAACCACAGAATTCATTCAAACCTTTGTCTTTACAGATTACGGATGTGAAGCTGAAGAAGAGGAGGTTTTTTAGACTGAACTTGTCTGCCCACCAAACTTGTCCTTCCATTACCCTGTACAGTGAAGAGAAGAGCATTTAAAGCACATTTGAGACGCCTATAATATGCTGCGCATTTACGAAAGGTCACTCTCCCTCAGTGCAGTACATATGACTGGTTAAACTGCAGCATCTGTGTGATGAGTGAGCTACTACGGAAGAAGGTGGCTGGCAGCTTTAGACTGAAGAACAATCAGTGCATAAAATCATTTTAGCACTTATTTAGCACCATTTTAGCCAATGTTTCACTAAGAAACAGGAAGCACTGAAGTAGTTTGCTGAGGATCTCAGAGAAGATGTTTCACAGGTGCAGTAGGATTTGAACATGTGAAGATACTGAAGTCTGCTCAGCTTGCTAATAATGTTGGATGCATTGTGGGACAATGTACTAGCGATTTGTTTTACATATATAGTAAGAAGCTGTAAATATATGGCACTGTGTTTAACTTTTTATTTTTAAGCTATTTAATGCTACATATGTCTGTATATATCATGTATATGTGATAGTATTTTGTCATTATATTTCCTAATTCCATGAAAAGTAAATGTTCTTCTGTGTTGGGTTATGATAAATATGAATGTGTAATATACTGCAGTGTATTGTACAGAAAGGTTATGACCCTTGTTTTTATCTGTTTTCATTGAATACTATTGTAAGATGTAGATTTCAGAGTACAGATCTGTGATTGGAAACTAGTGACTTGAACAATATAATGTATTTGAATAAATTCACGTTTATTCAGGATGTTTTATGATGCTTTTTGCATTATTTTTGAAGATTTTAAAGCCCTCGTCCTCGTTCATTGTAATTGACTGAAAAAGAACGACCACCGCATTCCTCAAAAATGCTCCTTTTGTGTTCCATTGAAGAAAGAAGGAAAGTCATACGGGATTGGAACAACATGTGGGTGAGTAAATGATGACTTGTGTGTAAACTAATGCTTTAAATTGTGAATTCAGGGTTAATTTCTTGTTTATTTTTCATGTCAAGCAACTACTGTACAGCCTCTTACAGCAGAGATTCCCAAGCGCTTTTCTCAGCCAAACCCCTTTGACATAAAATATTTACTTGAAGTACCCCCCCTAAAGAGTTTAAGTTAATATTTCAATAATTGACATATTTGCATGTTTACAGTTCTCTAATGTGGGTTATTGGTCACATGACATGCAGGTAAACAAATTAATGAATCTCTTTTATTAAGTGTTTTATTTAGATATTTTTTTTATTGATGATTGATTATTAGCTTTTTATCAACACACACACACACACACACACACACACACACACACACACACACACTCTAGTTTGGGCAACCAAACCAATCTCACAGAATAACAGCCTAAACTCTCCTTCCCAAAAGCTACACGTCTGTGATACAATCACAAATGTCTCAAATCAGATTTGTTCAGGAGTCATGGTCAAGGAAGTTTAGAACTGCGATTCATCAGTGTTTCCTGAGTTTCATTATAAGAATAGAGCAGTCTTTGTGCGACTATGATCTGAGCATTCAAGAACCACAAGAAAAGCTGGAACATACAAATCCCATTTTCATTTGCGAGCGAGCACTGTAATGGCTAATGATATAGATTTTACGAGTCTTGAGGTCAGACGAATGCGTTGGGCTTTGCCTGTGGCTCATATACCCTGACAGAGCTCATCAACAGATAGCTCATTAGAACGAAAGCCTCCAAAGAGAACCATTTACCCCTAAATAACCTGAGCCTGTCTGCGTGAATGGCCGAATTCATACACGGCAGAGCAGTATATGTGGCTACCTGGAGGTTTAAGATTCCAGCATAGTCTACATTATGTGTGCGCTTTTGAGAGTATGAAGAAACTGCAGCCCATTTAACCCGCTCTGGTGGTCAGACTGAAGGGTAACAAGACACTATAATAGTCTGCTTCTGCAGTACTGCTGCCTGTCACTCACATCTGATTTGATTTGTCCACAGATGCAGGCTCATGGTGCCCATGGACTTCAACTGTATCAGGTTCAGTTCTTTCAAAGCATTGTGTTCAAATTGCTTCCCACTCTGTCTGGCTGTAGACCTACTCTGGTTTCAGTTGATCTGGTATATTAATCACACAGTCTTCTCAGAGCAAGGTCAACACTGTGATTTTAACATCCTATAGATAACCGCAAGCAACCGCTGGACTGGATTTCATGATTACCAGCCCAAATTGAAGTTAGTTATGTTACCATGCAGCTTATTAAAGAGAGTTATGCTCATCACCTTTTTTTGCTTACTTTTCTAGACAACGTGTGCTTGATGGATGATAAAGCAACGAAAAAAATCCCATATTTTTGCATTAAAGGAGGAACTTGAGCTGCAAACAACCACCCTTGCAATCACTCTAATATGGTTAAATTACATGCAAGTTTGATTTGTCTCTCAGTTCGTAAAAATCAACATAAACCGTCCTCATTCATTGTAATTGACTGAAAAAGAACGTCCACCGCTTCTTTTGTGTTCCACTGAAGAAAGAAGGAAAGTCATACGGGATTGGAACGAAATGAGGGTGAGTAAATGATGACAGAATTTTACTCATTTATGTTGTTTATTTTTCATGTCAAGCGACTAAAACTACTACTAAAGGTTACATTTCTTGTTTAATTTAACTACATGGTTACATTTCTTAAGTTTGATTTGTCTCTCAGTTCATAAAAATTAAGTTCCTCTGCCTAAAAATATAGTCCTACCTCAAAAGTGAAAATTCTGTCATCATTTACTCTTTAGTTGTTACAAACCTGTATACACACCTTTGTTCTGCTGAACACACAGGAAGATATTTTGAAGAATGTTGGTAACCAAACAGATCTCGGGCTCCATTGACTACCATAGAGCAAAATAAAACAGATTTTATTAGGCGTCTTCATCTCACTTGAGTGTAATTTTTAAAAAGTACTATTCAAACTTTTTAATAAGGAATGAATTACTGAATGCCACTTTAAATGGACAGTCCACCCAAAATATGACTACTTCTGTGAAAAAAAGATATTTTGACGTAATGTAATTTTTGAGATCATTGGGAACCAAAACGGTTTGGTTACCAACATCTTCAAAATATCATCTTTTTCACAGAAGAAAAAGAGTTGTGCATGTTTGGAATAGCATGGGGTGAGTAAATATGATAGAATTAAAAAATTTGACTTTCTTTAATATACATGTTTTAACAAAAATATGTGCTTTGTTAAGGGATGAATTGAAGTGACTCAACGTCATGCCACAGATGCTGTTCGTAGACATTAAGTGGAAAATAATGGATGATAATGTCTTATGACACTCATTAAGATACAATGATGGTTGTGATGAATAAGTGATTAATACGGTCCCTTTAGGTTTCAGAGCAAATGCAACAATGCATGCTGTTTGCACCCTTCCTAGTCTCAGGCTGTTTTGAGTTGCTCTTGGCCTTGGGCTATGGCAAAGCCTGTGGATTGTGCATAATCATTTTCTTGTGTACCACAGGCCAGCTGTGTCCTGGAGGTTCAGGGTAGATGGCTGTGTGATTTATACAATGTGACTGTTCTCCTGTATGCTGTGTGCTGGCAGATAGCTCATCTGTCTCTTCTGACTGTGGTCACTTCACTGGACTCAGGTGAGAGCAAACATGACCTTGTTCACCAGGCCGAACCAAGCATATACACCTCAGAAGGGGACAAAAAACAACAACGCGCTGCTTTTAAAGGGGTGATGAACTGAGAAATCAAATTTTCCTTGAGCTTTTGACATCTAAGAGGTCATCATATTATAAGAATATCCTGTAAGTTTCAGAACTGAAAACGTCCTTGTTAGTCCAATAAAAGCTTTTATTGACACCAGGCTCAGCAAACGACTCGTTTTTCAAAGTGGGGAACTATGACGACAAAGAGGATAAAACACCACCCCCGCAGAAGAAGATCAACGCCTACTTCAACACGGCCGGTTTAGCCCCGCCCACCGATTCGCGCATAACACGAAACTCATTATAATATACGAAACTCATTATAATATGCAAAACTGTTATCCACTCACAGCAGTGGGCGTTTACTTCCAAGTCTTCAATGCGAGACGCCCATAAAAACCGAGCGTATTTGAGCTAGGCTCAAAACTAGGGTAGAAAATAGCCTATTTCTTATTCATTTTGATGTTTCTGAATGTAAAAACCAAGCGAACGTCATAAGTTGACCTCAGACAACAATATAAAAAAATGTAAAAAGCCAGTTCATGACCCCTTTAAATTGTTATATGTAAACGCGCACTAAACGTGCTGTTGACCATTGTGCATCTTGCGCTGTTTTTAAGAATGCTATATGTGCCAATGTTTATTTTACACTTTTATTTTAAGAGGAAGATGAATTTTGTATAGATGAAAGGAATCGATATATTGAAATGTTGCCATGATCATGGGATAGGAAAAGGGAAAAAAATATATCTTACACAGTTATTGATAGTAAATTCCACATAAATTAAAATGGTCGTAACATTTTTTTTCACTTTATAAATGCCTTTATATATGCGTAAATATTGCAGCATTTTATATAAATGTCAAAACTTCTAAACTTGCAATAGGTATTACAATATTTAAGGAATCATTGATTACAGGCTGTTGAATTATTGGAAAATAAGAGTCTGAGCATTATTTTTAAATAATTTGGCTCATCATCATTTATTATAATCACGTTATAACTCAAACTTTCTGGGAAAATGTTTTTTTTAGATCAGTAAGTTATTGTTTATATAACTTGAATTTGTTTGATATTGTCATTTAAAGTCAAATGTTCAACTTTCTAATCCATGGCAGTTTCAAAACAGTGGACCAATCAGAAGAAGGGGTGGGGCAACTTTTACAAGCACGTGTAAATAGTAGCTGCTGTTTCCATTTTATTCAATTTTTTTTACTGTTTTCACTGTATCTTGCATTTTCAAATGCAAGAACACATTCTGTGTGAATTTTTCCATTTATAATAGCAAAACTGTGCAAGATATTATATCCTCCTAGTATTTGTTGTCCATTTGTCCTCTGTCCTACTCTTCATGTCTCTCTGCATCTCTCTGAGTTATTGCAGACTGAAGCACAGATATATGCGACCTATCTCTATCTTTTCCTGCAGTGCACCAATTATGTAACCGTTCAGAGGTTGTCCCACGCAGGCTCTCAGAGATGCTGTCACGTCTCCAAATGATCACTGCTAGTAACAGTACACTATGTAGAGAACATCCTCTGCACTTTCATTCCCTGCAGAGTTGTCTAGTGCTGTTGCCTGCTAAATTTACCGTGCTTGCCGTGATGGGGCAGCTCGCCATATCTACTGAAGTGAGTCCCCTCACTGCTCAGCTGTTCTGGGAGACAGTTTAGCTGAAGAAGACCCCCATCCTCTGTTCCTTCAAACTCAAAGCCCTATGTCCCACATGCCTCTTAATTATGCACAAAAACCCAACGGTGCGAACAATAGAATATAACATGCACATTAAGAGGTATAACACACCGTAGCCATGAAGA